ACCTATCAAGCCTTGAAAACATCTTTGGGTTCTAGCTCCACAGCCAGACAAGCATCCCGGGTCTAAGCACAGGCATAAGGATGACACCAACATGCCTGAGATAAAGACATCATTATTTGTTCACAAAGTGGTAGTGACTCAAAGAGAAAACAACTCCTTGGCATTCCTTAAGGATTGAAAATTTAAAGGTGATTTGTAAACAGAGGAGATGTCATTTAGCAGATCAACTTGGAACAAATTTCCTTGAAGGACTGTGTATCAAAATGACACTATTGGAAAAGGTAGTGGCATACCTTTTACTATGCAATGCTCTAAGTGCTGTGCATAACATAAGAAGCGATGTGTAGGCAGTAGCAATTGGATTGTTTATGCACCCCAACAGTTGCCTTGAAGTATAATAAAATGGAGCATGAAATGAGAGGTTCATGCAGGCCTATGAGCAAAATGAGAACAAAACCCCACAAACCAACACCCTCCCCTCCCAGTGGGCCTTGCCCTCCCCAGCCCCCCAAGTTTGTCCTGTGGCCTTAAGTCCCTTCTGGATTGGAGGACCTACAGGCTGTGTACATTCACCTGGTGGCTCATGAAGACCAGAAACACTGTCATAGAAAGAAGCTCTCTGAATATTCTGAATCTCTAAAGCAGAGAAACAGTAAAAACAGGACAGAAGAGCAAATACACAAACACTTTAGTTAGTGTGAGACACATTTGACATCACAAGTAAAACTCTGAAATGGGGCTACACAAGTAGCCAATCCGGGGCAGATCCCATGCAAACATTACTGTTTAGAAAATCTGCGCATTGGGATAATGTTCTTTATAAAGTAAATTTAAACTGAATCAAAAGAGGATATTTTCAACTGCAGGTGTGAGCATCTTGTGATAGCCACATTAAAGAATTGCCCCAGGAGAGTGCAGAATGGCATTTAAGAGCAATGAGGTACCAGTTGATTCATCTTGCAATCAGTAAACCAGAGCAATATTGCAGTTAAGTTAGAGCATTGATTTTACTGTGAGAAATTCATACTGTTGGGAGAATTTATCTCCAGGATAGATTTGGAAACACAATTTACTTCAAATACAAATTACTATGAGATTGGTAACTATCATTAAGGAAAAGGAAACCCAAGTTTTGCTGTAATGAAATGTTAAAATAACTTCAAATCCTGAGAAAAATGACCATATCACTCATTACTCATGGAAATGTCCAACAAGGCATACTTAAACAAAATGTTATCTTTAGTTTTTGTTTGTTTGTTTATTTTCTCCTGTATGTATTAGTCTTATCAAGTAGCAAGACATTCTGTGTAGCTGGTAGAGAGATTCCAAACTATCTCTTAGCAAAAAGTAGGGCACTATGAATCTCTAGGGCAGGGCTGCCACCAATATGTCTTATTCCTTCTGGTCTGGCTTTGGGAAAATGGTGAAACCTTAACACACCCTGGATTTTAACCCCAAATGTTTTATGCTCCAAGCAGTGTGCCCTGCCTGTCAGGCAACTGTGTGCACGCATCATGTATTCGTTTTTGCCTTTGCATTTCAGTGGCTATGAATAGAGGAAAATTACATGTTTTGGCAGGGCTACTTTTCTTTTCCTAGGGACAAAGTTCCCTTATCTCACGAGATCTCTACATCCCAAGTTGAGCAGTGATGCTTAGAACCTGCCAGCTTCTGTGCCTGCCGCTGAACTTTCATATGAAACTCCCAATCCTCCAACGGAAACATACAAGTACTGCCTCACTACCTTCTCCTCCCCCTCTATCCTGTGGCTTACAGCCTGAGGTCTGTTATCCCTAAGATTCAATCAACTACCTACCTAGGCAGATGAGATTTCCTGCTCAGAGTGGAATTATCAGGAGAGCAAACAAGGTCTGCCTCAGAGCAGAAGCTGACAGGGGCCTATCCTAACAACAGTAAGAATACCTGCTGTCTTACCGGCTGTGGTCTGTGGCAAAGCAAAGTCTTGGCAGAGCTAGGCACACAGTGAAGCCTGAAGGTCAGAGCTGCAAACTAATAAGTGCAGATAAGCAAGGCTGACTGAAGGAGCTCAGCAAAGTTGTGACCAAATAAATGACTTTCCTGTATCTAAATGGTAATCACAGATGCAGGTAAGGAAGAGATTCCCAGACTCAGTCCTCCTGGCAAGACCTATTTGAGCTGAAATTTGGACTCATCAATCCAGTCTCCCAGCTCCACCTTTACCTGACAAATCTTACCATTCTAAAACCTTGGCCCACTACTGGACGGAGCGCTCTCTGGTATCTGAAACTAAAGGAGGAGGAAAATGAGGAGGCCCGGGAGGCTGGGCACCTGGGACTACCCACATGTGGGTAGACTTGCGGGCAGAGGGCGGGGCTTTCACTGCTTTTGCTCCATCTCCCCGGTGGAGCCATGGGTAGCTCCACATTAGACAGGAACCAAGCACCCAGCAGTGGTTTCATGCCACATAAAAACAGGAGTCAAAAAAAAAAGTCCAGAATGCCAGACGTGTGTATAAACCAGGACCACATTGCCTTTATTAAACTGTCAGTGTTCCTCAATAGCCTGCTTCTCTTAATGAGAAGGAAGAGAAAAGCAATTTCTGAGACTCCCACAGAAAACCTTGCTCCCTTCCCTTTACCATTTGGGAGGGGGAGGGGGGAAGGAGGGGCATTCCTTCCAGAGTACCAGTCACCTTTCTTGCCCTCCTTCTTCCAGGGACTTTTGCCCCAATCCATCCAAGAAACTACCCATTTCACTTTCCTTCTTCAAGTTCAGACCGAACCAACCAACTGAGGCTCTTTATTCACTGAAGTCCAAGCAAAGTCCTCTTGGGACAGCCAGGCTGTCAGGACTACTTGAGGGCTGGGCCTGGCCTCTACTACCATCCAGCCCTACTTTCCTGCTTTCTCACTCTGTGCCCTACTCTCCAGTTGAAACAGATGCACCTGACACTTCCCAGCTGTCATGGATTGTCTAGGCCCTGCTACCTTCAGCCCAGATTAGTTAGCTTATTCAGACCTTTTTTGTTTGTCTTTATTTTCCCCCGGTCCTGGGCCTGGGCACTCTCCCTAAGCTGCTCAAGGCTACCTAAGCCGCAGCACCATTTCTAGTCTTTTCTGTTTATGAGGTGCTGAGGAATTGAACCCAGGGCTTCATGCATGCAAGGCAAGCACTCTACCACTAAGCCACGTTCCCAGCCCTATGCTGATCTTTTTGCCAGCAAATGTTGAAGATGTAGCCAGAATGCAAAATGCGCATACATTACTGCTGAACACACTGAGTACAGCACTCCATATTAGCTTCCATCCTCTAATTAAAAAAATCCATGTTGTCGGGGTGAGATTGGTTGGAATATATTGTAAATGTGCAGAAATGGATCAATGAACTCCTTTGTACCATAATGTGAGTTAACTGAAAACAGGCAAACAAAAAGAAATCATGATTGCCCTTGAAAGACAAAGAAAACTGCACCCTCCTTTATGATGCTTTACATGCTGTCCTCTGTTGCACATCCCTAGAGTCTCGCTCTATGCCACTCACATAGCACTCATCACGGGATCCTCTGGCACTCAATGCTTTAGGCCTGTTTCCCCACCTTCACTGCGTTCTCAGATCTGGACAGTGGTGACAGGAAGAGGCACTGAGTGAGGCTGGCGTGCCTATGCGTCCTGTATCATCAGTCACAATGGAATGGACCCTCAGGAATAGAAGGCATTTATGACTGACACTCCCCTCACCCTCGCTCTGATCCCTTGGGGAAACTGTTTCCCACCTGCAGTGCTGACTCCCAATGTTGGAATTTCCAGCACGAGGGATCTTGTGATGACCTGAACTCAGTCCTGTTTCCTGCTCTGGTCCTGCTCCACGCCCTCAGTTCCAGCAACACAGTCCAGAGCAGCTCCACTCCAAAGGCTTTGCCAAGTCTACCCAAGGCCCAGGCCCCTCTTCTCTGCTGTTGGGTAGCACCTTCCACTGAGTAAATCATTGCAGGGACACTGTGCACACAATAGCATTTAAACATACAAAGATGAAAAGCTTCGGTTTTACTCATTGGAAAGCTAATCATTCTCCCAACCTTCAATGTGTATGTGTCCCAGGACACATTCACAAAGCAGCAGAGCACCCACTCCTGTAGGCTTCCTTCAACACATGCCCTGATAATGCACATGAGCGTTCTGGGGGAGCCTTTGCCTCTAAAGGCCCAAAGCCCTTTCTTTTCTGAATTCTGTGCTTCTTTCCCTCTATTTCTTTGATAGCCAGATGAATAGGTCTTGAGACACTGCAGAGAAAGCTGAGGGAGCCAGTCATGAAATAGGCCTGGCCTCAGTGTCAAGGCCTAGGCAGAGACAGTTCCGGGGCTGGGATCAGACAATGAGACCTGAACCAATCAAAGAGGTGTGGGAGAAGCAAGATGAAGATAAAGAGGTGGAAAAGAAGCAGCAGCAGAGCTAAATTCTAGGAAGAGATGGTTCCTACTACATGCAGAGACACGGAGGAGGTTTGTTTTCTTGCTATTAGTAAAACTAGTCTACAATAACCATCACTGAATTACTCTACCTGAGACATGTATGTAAGACAACTCAGAGGCCTGATGGAAATAGAAGCAACTGGTCTATATGCCAAGAATTGGAGAGTTCATTCACGAACCACTGTGTGTGTGTGTGTGTGTGTGTGTGTGTGTGTGATGGAAAAAAGTGTTGTAACTAAACTGTCACGAGGGACCTGAGGCATGGTGTAGCTCTTTGTGACTCTGAGCTTCGAATGTTTCCACACTCCCCACTGCATCTGACCAGAGGGCAGATGTCTTGTTATGTTATTCATTTCTCATTCCATGTATTCTCAAAATGGATAACCTCTGATATAATGGCAGCCCTGCTCTAGGGAAAGAAAGATATTAAAGTGGGGAAAAACAAAGAAAATATATATATATATAAACATACACATACATGTATAAGAATCGTAACTCTTAGCTCTAAATGATGCCAGCAATGTTAATTACAAACAAAATACACTCTTACCATCCTTCCAAAGCTCGGCGACAAATCTGTCTGACGACTGGTGCAGTAGGGTGGCCACGTTGTCGTTCAGGGGGTCCATGTTCTTCATCAGCCACTCGTCTGCCTTGTAGTCCACCTATCCCACACCCAGCCGGTGTGGCGAGATGGAGAACACAAAACCAGACACAAAACTGAATCACTTTCATCCCATAAGCCCCTGAATGGCTTGTCTTGAATGGTAGGCATTTGCAATGTATACTATATAGCAGCATGTGTAAATGTTTGTTTTTCCAATGTGAGTACTGAAACTTGAACTCAGGGCCTTGTGTCCTCCCTTGGCTTTTTTGCTAAAGGCTGGCACTCTATCACTTGAGCCATAGCTCCCCTTCCAGTTTTTGCGGGGGCAGTTGAGTGGAAATAAGAGTCCCATAGACTTTCCTGCCTTCAGATCTCAGCTTTCTGAGGAGCTAGGAAAACAGGTGTGAGCCACCAGTGTTTGGTTAAGCATGTGTAAATGTTTATTATCACTTTGGTGATTCTTTCATAAATTGCAGCAAAATCACAAACAGAGCAACTGCTATTAACAAGTCTTTAAAAAAAAACAGGATTCTTACCTTTCCTGCATAATGTATAATGCAAAAGTCAGCTTTGTCTTTAAGTTGCCGAGGTTTCTGAAACTTGGAGTGGGAACCTTGCTCTTGAACCAGCTTTTCAACAAAGGTTTTATCTGTGGCTTTAGGGAACCAGCACTCTTCATCCAGAAGGGCCAGCACACCAGGAGGGTTGGCCTAATAGCAAGAGGCAACAGGAACACACATGGTTTACATCACTCCAACACCATTGGGTTCAACATCTTAACTTCAAGGTCATTAGAGCTACATGAAGATCTATGAAAAAAAAGTATGGCTAGGATGGAAAATAAGGGCCAGACTATAACAAGTTTGTAATTTCAACATGGAGATCCTATCTGCAAAGTACAGGCAAGAAAAACGGATGAGTAATTTATCCAGTAAACTTTTAAACAGATAATGTTGTACGAGAGGCTCCTAAAAACAGCAAATGCAAAAAGGTAAGAAAGGAAATTAGAGGAGAATAGGCTGAGAGGTCAAATTCAATGTTTACGTTTTATGTTCAACAACTGGCTGGACAAATTACTATAAAATCTCAACTGATAGACTGCTTGGCCCTGTACATTCTACACAATTTAGGTTTTTGTTTAATTGATGATGAAATCAACTATCTCACTTTACATTTGGTAAAATATTTAAAACTATGATTTTATCATGGGAGATGATAAAATAATTCATAATATATATTTAACATACATTTGGGCATTTATTTTATGTCACTTAATTAGCAGATCAATGACAAAAGGTCTCGGTAAATCCAGACTCGGGAAGTAGGTCAGCAGTGATGGCTGACAGGGGAGTGGGGGTGGGGAGCTGCTAGTGGCTAGGAGGGTATTTAGAGGATGATGATAATATAGAATTAGATACTGGTGACAGCTTCACAACTTTATGAATATGTCCCAAACCAAAGAGCTGTAATCATACCATGTATACTTTAGGGAGTGTGAATTACACCTTAATTGCTAAATAGAAAAATTAAAAATAAATAAATGGCATATAGCTTGCTATTCATTCTCTGGGATGACTTACCTTTTACCTTTTGTGAATAGTCCTTTAGAATCCCTTATACTTACTGGGGAAGTGCTAGCTATCAAGACTATTTTTAAATGTAAGTCACAATTAAATATGAATCCAACAATGTAATATCATGATCAGAGAAAAGTGAGGTTGATTGCAACACCAGTAAGGGTAGAAGCTGAGGGAATACTGCAGTGAGACCCTCCTCCTCCCCCCACACCCTCATCTCCCTGGCTCAATACCCTGGCTCCTTCACTTGAAAGAATTTTTGGGCCGGGCTCCGGTGGCTCACGCCTGTAATCCTAGCTACTCAGGAAGCTGAGATCTGAGGATCACGGTTCAAAGTCAGCACAGGTAGGAAAATCCGTGAGACTCTTATCTCCAATAAACCACTAGAAAAGCGGAAGTGGTGCTGTGGCTCAAGTGATAGAGCACTCGCCGTTGAGCCAAAGAGCACAGGGACAGCGCCCAAGCCCCACAACCAGGGGAAAAAAAAAAAAGAATTCTTGGGTTTCAGATCAGCTAAAGTAAAAGGAAATTCAATTAGCTAGGATTAGGTCCAGAGTGACAGGTTAATGCAACCTATCCCTGTTGAGATATAAAGCTCTAAATAAATGTTAAGACAATCAAATGTTCCCTTTTTTTTAACCCTATTTTTTATATGTCTAATTCCCTCAAATGAAAATATTCCCAGGTTCTGACAGAGGATCTCCCAAACAATTATTTTTTTCCTGAGTGATTTTGGTGACTTAGCCTTCAGTATCAAGATCTCTAGTCATCATTTCTATTAATTGGGTACTTTTAAAGAGCTGCATACTTAGGAGTGTGCATTTTTGTATGATGTAATTAGATTAATGTAGTTTTTTTTTGGGGGGGGGGTCCGGTCATGGGGCCTGAATTCAGGGCCTATGCACTGTCCCTTTTTCTGCTCAAGGTTGGCACTCTACCACTTGAGCCACAGCGCCACTTCCGGCTTTTTTCTTTTTTGCTTATGTGATGCTGAGGGCCTCATGCATGCAAGGCAAGCGCTCTACCACTGAGCCACCTTCCCAGCCCCCTCATGTAATTTTTGTATGCATACTTTCTTTGTGTGTGAAAAGCTTTTGAACTGATAGATTGACGGACTTGCCTGCTACCACCCTACTTCCAAGCCAGGTAGAGCTGGGCTTGTAAAAGAGGAGGTAAACCTGGTGCAATATGGGGAGATACCACCAGAGACCACTTTCAACGGTACTATGAGTGGGTATCATTTCACATACTGCAGTTAAATTTCTAATCACCAATGAACTCTCATAGAGTTTAATTTTTTTCTTCGTTTTTTTTTTTATTGTGAAAATACTGTACAAAGGGGTTACAATTACATGGGCAAGATAATGAGTACATTTCTTATCAAGCATTATAGCCTCCTCCTTTGTGTCCCCTTCCCATCTTCCCCCCCCACCCCAGAGTTTAATTTTTTTAAAAAACAAAAAAAAAAAAAAAAAAAAAAAAAACCAGCCAGAAGCTGGTGCCTTACACCTGTAATCCTAGCTACTCAGATCTGAGGATTGTAGTTCAAAGCCAACCCAGACAGAAAAGTCCTTGAGACTCTTACCTCCAGTTAACCACCAGAAAACCTGAAGTAGCACTGTGGGTCAAAGTGGTAGAGTGTTAGCCTTGAGTAACAAGAGCTCAGGGAGAGTACCCAGGCTCTGAGTTCAAGCCCTATGCCCAACAAAAAGGAAAAAAACATTCGTATTTCTTTAAGTAGAATAATCCTAAACTTGAGGTAAGCAGTTAATCAGCAGTAGAACTTGTTTCTTTCCTCCCCTTTCTGCGCTATCTTTGCCTTACATAAGGACAACAAAGGTAGGGAACAGAGAGGTATTTTCTAAGTTTTAGGGGAAGGGCCTAGAAGTGCTGGTTGGTGTAAGAAGAATAGGAAGAAAGCTGAAGGGAAGAAGGAAAAGAGGAACAGAGGCAAGAAGGGGAGGTTAAAAAAAGGAAGAATTCAACTATGTACTGTCCAGAAATTTCTAGGTATAAGTGGCTATTATCAAAGTCCTATCTTCCCTATATCAGTTCTTTCTGAACACCTTGACTAAATCACTTTCCTAAAACAGCATTTCCAAAGTGGGTGCCAGTGACTCACCAAAAGTTCCAACACTAGCAGAGACATCTGAGAGACTCCATTCCCAAAATAACCAATAAAAATCAGGGCTAGATGCATGGCTTGGCTGATAGAGCACCAGCCAACCAAGCAAGCTGAGCAAATGCAAATAAGAAAAAAAAAATCTGATTTATGGCTTTAGCTAATTTGAGCCCATAAAATCCTACTGTGGGATGACCTTTTCCCTTGGCCATATCTGTATCTGTGAAATCTATACCACTGCCTCTTCAGATTCATAGAGCATCGCTTACAGCCCATAGCATGGAGCCCCTGAACCCCCAGTATGTTCTGCCGTTTTCTTTGGCTTCAAGACAAGGTCCATGCTCTAGACTCTGGAGTTTCCAAAGGGAATGAGTTATACACAGCTCTATGTACTTCTGCATGCCAAGTAATGTATGTGTGTATGTTCTAGTACTGGGAGTGAATTCAGGGCCTATGCACTGTCCATAGCTTTTCCACTCAAGGTTGGTGCTCTACCATTTGAACCACAGCTTTACTTTTGGCTTTTTGGTGATTAACTGAAGATAAGAGTCTCATAAACTTTCTTGCCCAAGGCGGCTTGAATGGCAGTCTTCAGATCTCACTCAGCTTTCTGAGTAGCCAGGATATGAGTCATATTCTGACAGAAAATAATTTTTGACATTTTTTTCTAAGATGGTCACTAAAAATATATCTGCCAAAGGACCACCCTCCCCCAAACCAAACTAACACTGAAGCTTCAAATAAAAATAATCTCCCAAGCAATCTTTAGTTACCAGGGCAGGACAAAGATATTTTATCCACATACCACCTTCCCAGGCAATTCACACAAGAAAATTAATACTGTCTTGCATTATGACATTAACAGGTTCTGTTTGAAGGAGATGGAAGCTAGACTGGAAGGATACTCACAGGCCTCTCGATGAGGTCGATGCAGGGCTGCAGGTCCAGGCCAAAGTCGATGAAGTTCCACTCGATGCCCTCGCGCTGGTACTCCTCCTGCTCCAGGATGAACATGGTGTGGTTGAACAGCTGCTGCAGCTTCTCGTTGGTGTAGTTGATGCACAGCTGCTCGAAGGAGTTCAGCTACGTATGTCGAGCCATTGGCCAAACAATGGGGAGGGGAAGGAATGCAGGAAGCATTAGCCATCAAATTACTGGAAAAGTTCACTAAAAATGATGCAAGGTATCAATGTCATTATTGATTTTATCCAATGCTAATGACTAGGGGAGTGGTCTCTCGATGTATCTCTTTCTCACTCCCCCATTCTCAACCTTTCTGAAATGATAAAAAGAACCAGAGATGGTCATATCACATTACTGAATTGCAAAAATTAAAAAAGGAGGGCTGGGAATGTGGCTTAGTGGTAGAGCGCTTGTCTGGCATGCATGAAGCCCTGGATTGGATTCCTCAGTACCACATAAACAGAAAAAGCCAGAAGTGGCGCTGTGGCTCAAGGCATAGAGTGCTAGCCTTGATAAAAAAAAAAAGCTCAGGGACAGTGCCCAGACCCTGAGTTCAAGCCCCAGTGCTAGGGGGAAAAAAAAGGAAACTGGATAAACTGCAAATAAAATGTGTCAGTTCTTATTAATGAGCTGTCAGGGAATGGAAATGAAGAAACACATGTGACAGAAAGTGAGAAAAAGAAGCAAGACTTGGGAAGGACAGAGCCTGGAGGCAAGCAAGTGTCCAGGGGCGGGGAGGAATATCTGGAATACATCAGTCCTGTTTGTGCTATTCCCCACTGAGGCCACAGACTCCAGACTGGGTAAGAACGGACTAAGAAACATCTTTACCTCACAGGGTTCTTTCTGGGAGCACTGCCTAACCTGACACAGAATGTGTTGAGCACCTGTGAAGCCCCAGATTGCTTTTTTAAGTCAGTCCTTCTCTATCAAATGCCTGATCTTTGTCATTACCAGAAGCGATACTGTACTGCTCTCAATCAGGGAATCCTAGCATCTTTCTGTCTCTGTCCTCTGAACTCTGTCCATTTTTCTGTAGTGCTACTGAGTGGATGATGGGATGGATGGATGAATGAATAGGTGTCCTTTTGTGAAAGTAACAAAATCATCCTATATATTGTAAGTGCACAACCCTTATTCTTGCTGCTGTTAACATGAGTAGCATATGCCCATAAATAACCCCTTTCATTATAAAAAGTAACTTTCAATTAGAGACGATTCAGTTTCCAAGGAATACACTCATGGCCTGGAAAGTCCCTACAACCTGCTAAGCTGTCTTAAAACTAGGTTGTGCTGGGAGGGAGGTTATAGGGGGGGAGGGAGGAGGAGGAGTGGGTGGGGGGAGGCAATTCAGTACCCCTTAGTAGCTAAAATAACACACTGATCACAAGAGGTAGTTAGTTAATATTTCTATTGCTTTGTAGTCTACCAAAGAAGAATGACAAACTATTTGCAACATGTTGTTTCTATCTGCACCTAAGGTTTAAAAGATACTTATTTTTAGAAAAACAACGTTCTATCAACTTCTCTGCACATTTGCAGCGAGGGTATGATCACGAACTTCTACTGTCTTGATGGCATTTGGAAAAATCTAGCCATGGGCTGGGAATGTGGCTTAGTGATAGAGTGCTTGTCTAGCATGTAGGAAGCCTGGGTTTGATTCCTTAGTACCACATAAACAGAAAAGGCCAGGAGTGGCACTGTGGCTCAAGTGGTAGAGTGCTAGCCTTGAGCAAAAGAAGTTCAGGGACAGTGCACAGGCCCTGAGTTCAAGCCCCAGGACTGGCCAAAAAAAAAAAAAGAAACTAGCCAGATACACAGTGCAATGTAATAATGTAATAGGACACTGACCGCATTGTGCCATGTACCTCTCCCTGCTCCTCAAGGCAGCACCTGTGCCTGGCCACCCTTCCCCTTCCCCGATCTGCCACATGTCTTCTTCATAATGCCTTCCTTCTCCTTTGGCCCCATACTATACTCCATGTCTTCTTGACTCCCCGCTCCCTTTCATCAGCTATGTCTAGACACCCTGGCTTTCCAGCAGCTTCTAAGCTTTAACAAATACTTTCCCATATAGAAGCAACTGGATTCACACTTGTCCCAGGAAGGCATTCTGAAGGTGACAGCTTCTTGTCCTTTAAGAATCCCCAAACAGGCAGTTTGAAGGTAAAACTATTCCTCACCCCCCACTGCCAGTTGCTCATCACAGGATCCTTTCATTGTGTTCTTCACACATTTGACAACTACATGGTTATTTGCCTTAATTGTTTCATTAGAATGGCCAGCATTGTATATACTTGTTATCACATTCCTGGTACTTGGCACTGGACCTGATTCATAATGAGCCTGAATGTTTGTTAAAGAACAAACAATAATAAAGAAGAGAGGGAGGGAGAGAAGGAGAAATACCTCGAAAATCTCAAATCCAGCAATATCCAGGATTCCAATGAAAGATGCTCCCTGTCGTTTGGTCCTATCCAGAGCTTTATTGATACGGTGAACGAGCCAGCGAAAGAGTCGCTCATAGGTAGCCTTCGCCAATGCTTCTACTGCAAAATCTGCCTACAATTAGATAATATTAACCTTTTATCTCAGAAATAAACTCAAAGAAGCATTAAGAGCTGACATATAGAGTTGAATGTTAGATAATACTAAGAAAAAAACTTGAAACAATGTTTATTGCTTGATTCCATTTCAATTTTACACATGAAGGGAGGGTAGTATTAATATCATTAAATGACAAATGGGATAATGACTTGGGGAGATGGGCAAAGACGCCCAGGAGAATAAACCTCCTCCACTGGCTCCAGGGTTCTAAGTAGCAGCATCTGTCTCTGCTTGGTCAGCTGGCACTTTGCCACAGAAAAATCACCTTCCAGTCTTCTTAGTCAAAGCTAATAGTGTACTTCTTGAAATAGTCCATAGCTAAACAGTGAATGTAACTCCTCTGCCCTTGCGGCCTGGCCCCCCAGAACAGAGGAGAGGAGGCCCCTCTGCTGGTTGGGCCCCTGAAGTACTCATTTGTCAATTATTGGTCCACATTTGGGAAAACTTGATGTTTCAAATTTACTCTAAGTATGCTACAGGGGGAAAAAAAATTCCTCATTTACTACTAAGATACATCCGTAAGTTAGAACTTTTATAGAGTCAGTTTGTTATGCGGCAATTGGTATATCAAATGACCATTACCATTTAACCATGTGTACAATAAAAGGTAACACTGAACTTACTTGTTCTTTGGTCTGGGCTTTCTGCACATAGTCCCGGCCCACTTTGATGCGGGGGGTGAGGATAGCCCGAGTAAACTCCATCACATTCATCCCAAGCAGGTGGCACAGCTTCTGTGCAACTGAAGCAGAAAAGTCACTCAAAGACCTCATTTCTACTCATGATCAAATCATAGTACTCAACAGACATTTGAAAAACAAAACAAAATCCTTAGTTACCATTCTATGATACAAAAAGAAAAAAAAAAGGCTTGAAGTTGGACAAAGTTTTAGGTCAGACAAAAAATACCCTCCATTCCCTACAGATTAAACATACACATATTCTCAAGCAAAACGATTGTCAAGTCAACCTTATTCTTCTTAGGAGTGTATACTGATCCTCATCTGCCTATGCAATATTGTATTTTTTTGCTGGTTATGGGTCTTGGACTCGGGGCCTGGGCACTGTACCTAAGCTTTTTCCACTCAAGGCTAGTGCTTTACCACTTTGAGCCTTAGCTCCACTTCTGGGTTTCTGGCGGTTATCTAGAGATAAGAGTCTCATGGACTTTCCTACCCAGGCTGGCTTAACTGTGATCCTCTGATCTTGACCTTCTGAATAGCTAGGATTACAGGTGTGGGTTGCCATTATTCAGCCAAAAAATATTGTTCTGGGTTGCAAACTTTTTGTTCCTGACTAGCATCAATTTAAATCCACCGCCCCCTTCCCCCCCCCCACCACACACATACCCCACTTTCTCTTTTTATCTTGCTTGTGTGAGTCTTGGGGCTTAAATTCAGGCTTAAATCTTTTTGGTGATTAATTCAATTAAAGAGTCTCATGACTTTCTGGACAGGGCTGGCTTTGAAATAGGATCCTCAGATTTCAACCTCTTTTGTGGCTAGGGTTACAGGTGTGAGCCACTGGTGACAGGCTTAAATCTATTTTCAATATTTAAAACCAAGATTTCTTATCGAAATATAGATTTCCAACTTTCTTTGAAACTCTACACTTATTTTCCTGAGAAGGTCACAGCTGGTGAGACCTGAGACCTGAGACTGAGCAGCCATAGTAACTCCCTTCAAGGCGAGCCTGCATGGTCTCCTGCAGCCGAGTCCCCATCCTCTCCATTCCTACTAAGACAACGGACACTGCTGTCCTATGTCCTACATGTGCCCTTCCCTCAGTTAGGGAACTGGGTTGGCCATTTTGATCAAGAATTCCTTGGGGACAGCAGATGAATGGATAAAGATGTAATATATACATACACAATAGAATATTACTCAGCCATAAAGAAAAACAAAATCATGTTGTTTGTAAGAAAACGGGTGAAAATGGAGGGTATCATATTGAGTGAGACAAGCCATCTCAAAAAACCAGACTGTTCATATGTGGAAGGTAGCCCTCAAAGACAAACATATTTGTGGACATGAATATATATATATATTATATATATACACACACATGAAATATGGATGTATATATAGACATATGTATACATGTTTACATGTACATAAACTCATGTGTGTAAACACATCTATATACACACATACTTGTGGATATATATAGATAAATATAGGTGTAACTAAGGGACTACTTAGGAGAAGGGCAAAGGGAAAAGCAGAAGGTGGACAATTCTGAAATGCATTGCAATTACATATGAAAACCACATAAAGAACATCCATAAAAGTTGTTAATCACTGGGGGCTGGGGTCTCACACCCGTAATCCTAGCTACTCAGTAGGCTGAGATCTGAGAATTGTGGTTCAAAGCCAGTCCATGCAGGAAAGCCCATGAGACTTATCACTAACTACCAAAAGCCAGAAGTGGAGCTGCGGTTCAAGTGGTAGAACACTAGCCTTAAGCACAAATGCTCAGAAACAGTGCCTAGGTCCTGAGTTCAAGCCGTAGGACCAGCATAAAAAACCAAACTAAAACAAAAAATGTCCTGGGGAACATCCTTGAAGTGCCAGATGGTGCCATGTGTTCTTGGAGAACACAACAAGCTAAGAAAACAGAAATAAAATCAGTATTCACCAGTTTACCTGTGTTTTCCGGCATAGAAGCTTGATCTGTATTTCTCTCCTTTTTGAAAGAAATATTTCCAAACTGTAGCACTGAGGATACAACTTTAAGCATTGCTTCATTTTGAGACAAAAGAAAAAAAATCCATCAAAAATGTTACAGAGACACATTCTTATTTACTTTGTGGTAAACATTAGTTATATGAAATTACTTGGTAAGATACACTGTTTGAATTTCATAAAATTAAAGGTGGGACTTCCCAATCAATTCTAGCCTAGATAATTTACCCCAAATTCATATGCTCGTGAGAGGGAGGATGAGAGTCTTGGGGGAGTCACACGTACACAGAATCTCTTCGTGGGAGAAGCCCATTATGTGCATGGCTTCCATGGTCTCCTGAAAGTTATCCTTGTCCTGCTGGCCCGGAATGGGAATGTAGCCATTGGAGAGAAATCTGTAGTTACTAAATCCTTCCAGGAGTAAGTCGGCTGGAGGGAGATACAATAGAATAAAACTTAACAAACACTCCTAAAACAGAAGAAAGCGCCTAGGGATTAAGACATCACAGGACACAGGGTCATCCACCCAAGTCCTCATCAGCAGGTACAATTTCCTTGTTTGTATATTCACGTAAACTCATAAACATATACTACTTCCTTCCACCTGTACCGGAAAAAAGGAAATGCGGGAACAATGCAAAAACCTCAGCAGGAGTTTTTTGGAACAGTGCTCTGTACAATGTAATACTGCATATGAAACTGGATGGCTGGGAAGTGACTCAGTTGTCCAGGTAGCTTTATTGTTTCCAAATTTAAATAGTCATCTTCTCAAGGAAAGCTTTTAAACTCATTCTGTGTATTCTTATCTTTTTTGTTTTACCCCAGGGTGGTCTTGGGGCTTGAACTCAGGGCCTAGGTATTGTCCCTGAGCTTTTGTGCTCAAGGCTAGTGCTCTACCACTTGAGCCACAACTTCATTTCTGGCTTTTTTGGTGATTAGTTTGTGAGAACAGTCTCACAGACCTCCCTGCCTGAGCTGTCTTTGAACCATGATTCTTAGAGCTTAGCTTACTGAGTAGCTAAGATTACAGGAGTGAGTTACCAGTGGCCTGGCTGTGTATTTGTTACTAAGTGGTTTGCATCAAACATAAGTATGTATGAAAGCTTCCATGAACATAGGACAGACAGGATATAGAAGGCCTGGATACTGACAAGCAAGTTCTGAGCCCTGTAAACTCCTTGAAATGCTTTCTCTAAGCCTATTGGTGAGGCTAGGGGATCAAACTCAGGACTTTATGCATTCTAAGTATGGAATCTGCCACTGAGCCCCCTGGTCCCTAGCCAGTGTGTTTAGTGGCTGCCTTGTCTTTACAGTGATGAACAACAGGCCAAAGTACTCTTCTGAGAAGAATGCTCACTGATGCACAAGAATGTTATCAAATAGACAGAGTGATTTGTCTCTAGGACAGATGCACATATGTACAGCGTTCTCTGAAGCAAACTTTCTTGATATACTGCAATTTCCATGGTCTCTCCTTTCTCCTAATTTTTACCTATAGCACCTCTGACTTCTATTAGGAACTGTCTGCTTTCCTATTCCACTCTGATTTAACACAATAATGTTTTTTTTTAAAGTTAATTCATTCCTAATGCAATCATTGCCTCCTGAATTTGAGGTTTTTATTCTCTTCATATTGCATAATCTTGAATTTTCAATCTTGTCCTGGGAATTATTGTTTATTGCTTAGTAGTTCCTCCTTCCAGGTCTTTCTCTAATTAACTTCTGGGTTCAGTGCTTTCAAAGATGCATGTGGGTAACTAAAGCCCACACTCCATGAAACACTGTGTTTGTGTCTGCTGTCATATCTAGACAATAACCACATAAACAATACAGGACTGAGGATCAGGAGGGACTAGGGAACTGGACTCCATTATTCTTGAATCAGCAAAACTCTCACCCTGATTAGAATGCTTTTTTTTTTTTTTACTCTGCCCAGCTCAGCTCTTCAAAGCTTGTGACTCATGATTATCTATTATTCCCTAAAATCCACCACTGGTCCTTCCTTCCTTCCTTTTCTCTCACCCCCTCCCCCCTCTCTTTTGGTACTGATCTTGGAGCTTCGACTACAAGAGTGAACCATGGGAACTTGGCACCAATGAGTCTTTCTTATAAGAGTGGGAATATATATATGTATATATATTCTATATATATATATATAGAATATTTACTTACAAATCTAGGAATAAAAGTATTTTATTCCATTACTTTACTGAGTCAATTTTTTCCTTACTTTTCTATTTATAAATATTGAAACAGACAAATATACCATTTGTCTTTTTATTTTTGTAAAAAAAAAAAAGTTCAAAAGCTAACACGACATTCACATACCTGCCATTTCAAGTACTTGCCCCATGGCACAGAATTTCAATTTAATTTTCATTCTCATGGTTTGACTAGCTGGATATTTGGGGGTTATGTATGTCCATGCGCATGCATGTATGCGCATGCATGTAAATCTGTTGTTCACACCTATCTTCCATCAATGAAACCTACAATATTACAAACAGCCCCTCCACTGAATGCAACGAGTAAAAAGCCTGATCACTTACATTTCAGGTGCTCTCCTGCTCCAGACAGCAGCTGGTAAAAGATATGAAAAGTACGCTCATCCTTTGCCTGACGAACAGCACGAGACTTTTCCAGAAGGTCTGAGCAGAGATGGTTAAGGATTAATTACTAAAAGTAATGTTCATTCTACACAAATTTAATTGGAAAAAGTGTTCTCTTTCACAGATATACATCAACTATGCTATAGCGAACCCTTCTAAAGGATTATGAGAAAAAGAAAACATATGCAACTTATGTTCCTTATTGATCCTAAGTCACTGGGCTGGGAGAGACTAAAAGATGACAGGGAGCTCCCCTCTCCCGCTCCACCTTCCTTCCCCTAAGTTAGACCTCAATTCAAAAGCCACAGCACATGGGGCTGGGAAGGTGGCTCAGTGGTAGAGCGCTTGCCTTGCATGCTCGAGGCCCTGGGTTCGATTCCTCAGCACCACATAAGAAAAAAGAAAAAAGCCGGAAGTGGCGCTGTGGATCAAGTGGTAGAGTGCTAGCCTTGAGCTGAAGAGCTGAGGGACAGCGCCCAGGCCCAGAGTTCAGCTCCACGACTGGACCAAAAAAAAAAAAAAAAAAACCACAGCACTTCACCAGGTGCTGCCACCAGCTATTAAAAAAGAAAGAAGGAAAGAAATTAAAGAATCCAACCTTGCGGTGTTAGAGGCAGAGCTCAGGGGGGAGAGCATTAGTCAATAAGCAAAAGCATCAGATCAAGCGTTTGAACCCCAGGCTCAACAAAAAAGAAAGGAAGAAAGAAAGAAGAAAGGAAAGAAGAAAAAAAGAAAGGAAGAAAGAAAAAGAAGGAAGGAAGGACAGCTGGATGCTGGTGGTTCGTGCCGGTAATCCTACCTACTCAGGAGGCTGAGATCTGAGGATCACAGTTTGAAGCCAGCCCAGGCAGGAAAAGTTTTGAGACTCTTATATCCAATTAAGCACCAAAAAAAGGCCAGAAATGGATCTGTGCCTCAAATGGTAGCCTTGAGCCAAAAAAGCTCAGAGACAGCACCCAGGCACTGAGTTCAAGCCCCAGGACTGGCAGCAAAAAATAAAAACAAAAACAAAAAAAACAAACAAAAATGGCCCTATAATACTGAAGTTACCACAATTCCACAAAGATAGAAACAAGACTGAAAAAAGTTAGTCAAAATAGCATAGCTAATGAGTGGTAGAGCCAGAAATGAATTTTGGGGGAATGCCCACATGCCTGTTTGGTCACTCTGCTCCCCTGAGAGCCCCTTATGACAGAGGTGCTGGCCTGCCTCGTCCACACCTCAGGTCCCTTTTCCAGTGCGTTGAGATGTAGCTATCATCAGGTGACAGCTGTAGACTGTCACAGTGGGTGCTTCTCATGGAGCCTGGACCTCCCAGATGCAGTACCTTCGTGCCAGCAGCACCTGCATTATGAGGCTGATTCACACCAGCTATGGATACCTCTGTGTGGTGCCTGGATGCTTTTGAACTCCCGGTGCATTGAGGCACACTTAGATCTCACAGACAGTGTTATTGCTTTTCAGAGATTGTCTGCTTTTGCTATTCTTCTTTCATGTATACTGGGGCTTGAATTCAGGGCCTGTGCTTTCATTTGGCTTTCTTGCTCACAGTCAGCACTCTACTATTTAAGCCATGATTCCAGCATGGCGTTTTCCTAGTTAATTGGACATGGATTCCTGTGGACTTTTCTGCTCAGGCCGGCTTCAAATTGTGATCCACAGTAAGTAGGATTACAAATGCGGCTTGTTGATTACCTCATTTGGGATCATAGCTTCCACAGGGCTACAAAACAAAACAAATCTGTAGGTACCAAATAGTCTGAATTTTAAGTCAGACAATCTCACACTTCAGTGAAAAATATACTCAGATGAATGATGCTGTAAGACTAATATAACAAAGTTAAACTGAATTATGACTGTCATTTTCAAATGGTTGACTTTAAAAAAAATCTTAAATATATTTAAAAATACAATTCTATTTTATCTATCTATCTATCTATCTATCTATCTATCTATCTATCTATCTATCTATCTATCTATCTATCTATCTATCTATCTATCTATCTATCTGTCTGTCTGTCTGTCTATAAAATCTGTCAGTTTATTTATTGCATGGAGGATTGATTTTTCTTTCTATTTTTTTCCTTTTCTTTTTTTTGCCGATCCTGGGGCCTGAACCCCAGGCCTGTGTTCTGTCCCTGATCCTCTGTGCTCAAGGCTAGTGCTCTACCATTTGAGCTACAGCAGCCACTTTCAGCTTTTTCTGAGTAGTTTACTGGAGATTAAGAGTGTCATGTCATGGACATTCCTGCCTGGACTGGCTTTGAACTGTGGTCCTCAGATCTCAACCGCCTGAGTAGGTAGGATTACAGATGTGAGCCATTGCCTGCTAGTTTTGTTTTTGTTTTCTAGGGAAGCCATTCACCACCTGAGCCACCCCTCCAGTCTTACTTAACATTAACTGAAATTATTTAAACTCCTATCACCTTATAAGAATTGTTCACTAAGTACAAGCTTATCTTATCAGAGTAGATGGTAAAATGTCAGGGAGGAAAGCAATGGCTACCAGAGTAGTTGTAGGTAATATTCATCAACTATCCTTCTTTGGGATTCTACCTTCCCAGGCCCATAGGACATGGCTGGCTCCAAAAGCAAGTGAAAATACTCATCCCACTCTGGAGATGGCTGGAAGTGTTCAGTGTCTGGAAGAGTTCTCACTTCCTGCAGTGGGGGTACCACCCTATAGGGCCACGCTTGAGGCTGTGGAGAGATTTCTTAAATAATTATTTGGGGTTATACAATGGTGAGAAAGGATACAGGTTTCAATGTTGGCCCCAACGATGTAGCCAGTTACATCAAAGTTGATTCGAATGAACTTGCCCTGGAAATAAATTAAAGAGAAAGTTATAAATAAGGATACAGAGTGTCTGAATGTTATAATACAATAAGACAATGTGCCCTGCTAAGTATTCATAGAGTGGCTATAAAAATAATTCCTTGTCATTGTCTCAAATACATAGAATGAAAGGCCTCAATAGCTATAAAATAAAAAAAGTATCAGGAAGGTATACTATATTTTCAGACTAAGATGATAAAACTATAAATTTAACGAAAGGAAAGTAAGGAACCCAACACTTAACCTTCAAAAGCTCTTCTAAATAATCTGATATAGCCAGGTGCCAGTGGCTCACGCCTGTAATCCTAGCTACTCAGGAGGCTGAGATCTGAGGATCGCAGTTCAAAGCCAGCCTGGGCAGGAAAAGTCCGTGAAACTTATCTCCAATAAACCACCAGAAAACCGGAAGTTGCACTGTAGCTCAAGGGGTAGAGCGTGCTCGCCTTGAGCTGAAGAGCTGAGGGACAGCGCCCAGGCCCAGAGGTTTTTTGTTTGTTTGTTTTTTGTTGTTGTTGTTTTGTCTGTCCTGGGGCTTGAACTCTGGGCCTGGGTGCTGTCCTGCATTCTTCAGCTCAAGGAGCACCACAAGACTTGAGCCACAGCGCCACTTCCTGTTTTCTAGTGGTTTACTGGAGATAAAGAGTCTCATGGACTTTTCTGCCCGGGTTAGCTTTGTACCATGATCCTCAGATCTCAGCCTCCTGAGTTGCTAGGATTACACGTGGGAGCCACCAGTGCCCAGCCAGGCCCAGAATTTAAGCCCCATGACTGAAAAAAGAAAAAAAAAAGAATTATTTATTTAAAATGATGGATTGGGGGCTGGGAAGGTGGCTCAGTAGCAGAGCGCTTGCCTTGCATGCCTGAGGGCCTGGGTTCGATTCCTCAGCAC